TAAGCAGGTCTCCTGCCTACCTAAAGTACTTCCATCATTCAGAGACTATCACTACAACTTCAACAATCCCACTTTAACAACCTGAAATGTTAAATCTTTGCGTGGTTTTATTCACCTGTCACACTTTTAAGATAATCCTCAACGCGTTTCAGAAACTTCAAGCCAGCTTTTTGTGTGTGTTATCAGTTTGACAATGTCCCTCAAAAGGCGCCATTAAGCAACAGCAAGAATTTAGGGTGGGGCTTTTACCCCTAGAAAGGGCATTGTCGCTATCATGTGGAACCATCTTTCATTCTGCATTTGTAATATAGCCTGGAACAGATCTGGGCATTTTATGGCCCCTTGGCCACATCTGGAACTTTGGCTGCTCCTTTCCAACCCAAATGAGGTCAATGGGAAATTAGAAATAAAATGTAAATAAGTATATGCCAAGCATGCAACACAACTGCATTGCTTTTATTTTGAGGGTGGCTGCTATTTTGTCTTTTTTAGCTTTTTAGTTTATGTATGTGCGTGCACGCACTTTCACAGGCCAATTGGGTAGAGTCCCTTCCACAGGCCTATTGGTTAGTCCCAGTTTTTCATGTGGCCCCTTGGGAAAATTAATTGCCCATCCCTGGCCTGGAACACGACAGGAGGCATCCAGTGGAAATACAGGCTTGTGAGTGGTTTGTGGTTCCTATTAGGATTATTGGATCTGGGTTATAAAAATCCACAATGAAAATAAAGAAGTATACAAAATTCCAACTCTTTGCTGTTGTCCTATGATTGTATGGATTTTCACATACAAAGGCCTGTAGGTAGGCCTCGCTTATGTTAAACCTACTTAGTAGTAAGGAAAGGCTCTTCACTAGCCACAATGAACAGATTGTTCATTTGTAAACTACTTCCGTTGAAAATTATTCCACGAGTAGGCAAAATGAATAGAAACTGAGAGATTAGAAAAGCATAAGGGAGCCTATTCCCCTTTATAAATCACTATAGTATAGTGTTTACTATATTGATTTATAAAGGGGAGAGGGGATGGCTAGTAAAGGTCTATTGTAAACTCTGAACATCAGATGATAGAAAATGAGTTGGTCTGCTATAAGCCTGGGTTAAATAGAAATATCATTCCCACATTTGATCGTCAAAACTCAGAAATCCAAGAATTCTATTGTAAATCATCTCTCTTTTTAACCTGCCTAGATTTGTTTGTAATGCTTGGTGGCTCTGAATCTAATTGTGAAATTGAATCTTGAAAATGTATTGTGTGCCATCAGACAATGCCAGCTATCTTAGCTTAAACTGGATAATGTCAAGTTTTATGTGAAATACTAACCATTTTGTAAAATAATAATAACCAGGGCATAACTGCAGAATTCTGAGAATTAGCCAGGATGAAACACATCGCAGGTCTTGTAGCTTTCGGTAATCTTACAGTCTTGGGAACAAATGAACAAAACTTGAAATATCAGATTGGCAGCTCTAAGGAATAATTCGGCCCTATTTTACAAAAATGCTATTAAAGTACTCTTCCAACAACTATACAACCAATGTATGTTTATATTTACACCATCTTATGAAATCAGACTCTTACAAATGTGGGATTTTCCCATTATTCCTGACTAGAAGAAAAGGGAATAATGGTTTTGGAGTCCAGCACGTATGGAATGTAACAGGTCATAAACCTTACTCTCTTCCTTCAAGGAAGGAAGAGATTATTCTGCTTGCATAAAGCTTTCCTCCTGTCTCCTATGACCATGCATGTAAAATATAATTTAAAAATCTTATTTTTAAAAAATATAAATGGGCTCTGTGAAACAGCAAGTTTCAAATGTACAAAAATCACAATCTGATCCCATTGTTGTTTTTTTAAAAAAACTGTCCTTTCTTAGTCCCGAAGGCCTCTTTAAAAAATAGGTCTTTTATACTTTCAATATTTATTAAATCTTTTCGTTATTCTTTTTATATACTCTTTTTCTTAATAAAAAATAATCAAGCACCACGTTAGTATTACTTTTTACACAAAGTCATCTCCCCTCTCTGTTAGCAGGGTCTATCAGATAGGTGCTGCTAACATAGAGAAAGTGGTAGTGGAATAGAAAGTTTAATCTTTAGTCTTTTTTGTAAAAAAAAATGAATTTAACCAAATTTTGGAAGATTCCCCTTCCTGAAAGCATTTTTGTCTCTGTAGTTTCTCTATGAACCTTGACAGATGCTTTGTAGGCACTGCTGCCTAGAGTTCCATCTGCATGTCAAGAGATGCCAAGAGATTCTAAAATCTTTCCTGCTAGAGGGTTAAGTACAGGCAGACAATTTAGCTGCAGAAGTTTAATTTAAACTCATACTAGCTAGGATTGCATATAATATAAATCACAAATTAGTACAGGTAGTCCTCAACTTACAACCATTTGTTTAGTGACTGTTCAAAGTTACAATGGCACTGAAAAAAGTGACCTATGACCATTTTTCACACAACCATTACAGCCTCTCCATGGTCAAGTAAGTGATCAACATTTGGATGCTTAGCAACTAGTTCATATTTATGACCGTTGCTGTGTCCCCAGGGTCATGTGATCCCCTTTTGTGACCTTCTGACAAGCAAAGTCAATGGGAAAGCCAGATTCACTTAACAACCATGTGACTAAATTGACAAATGCAGTGAGTCCCTTAACCATCATGAACAGAAAAGTCATAAAATGGGGCAAAACTCACTTAGCAAATGTCTCACTTATCAATATAAATTATGGGCTCAATTTTGGTTGTAAGTCAAGGACTACATCACTAGTAGAAAGAACTTTGGGGAGAGCCATTCTTACGCAACAAGGAAGGACAAACTGAACCCAATTTTCTTTTAATAGCAGATTCCCGGTGGCTGGCCTTTATGTGCAATCAAGAATTGTGGTTTAAAATAACCTGCAATTTATTATTAAATAAATTATATCACAGCAAATCCTCATTTTTTTTTGCTAGGTTACAGTAAGTTTCTTTTCAGCTGCAATCTCTAGTTCCTATATAACAAGAAGCAAGCTGCTAAGAGAAAGTGAATGTATTTCTTAGTTTGATCATAGCAGGTCAGCTCTGTGTGAGCTCCCTCTTTTTTTTGAGATCTTTTTGCTCATCTGTATGATGAGGGCTTAGCATTGTGCATAATGTCCAGCAAAGTCTCCCTGGAAATAAGGGGTTTTTATTTCATTTGAGTTTCTTTTCAAATATGGGTGTTTTAGAATTCATATCTTGGTCTTTAGGATACTAAATTCAAGGGATGTTTCTGGAGTGTTGCAATGTTGATGATGAACAGTTAAATTAAATCTTTGCCAAAAATTCTCATTGGCTTAAAATTGGTTTCTTTTTCATGTAAATTTAAGGAGTGTGTGTGTCTGTGTTTGTGTGTGTCTGTTTCTGTGTAGGCTAAGGATCTTCAACCGGATTCTTAACGTCAGACTAAACTATAATTCCCATGATTGATTGGAAATGTCACATGGATATAAATCAGCGAGGATCTGAATTCCCACTGAAAACTCAGTTGTAAATTGAGATTTAAGACAATTTATGAACCATAGTACTCTTCCTGGAGCCTGTTTATAATCCTATCACACTAGCAGTTTCTATAAGAAGCAAAAGAAGTTACTTTCTGAAAACTATATATGATTGGTGGGTTATAATTTATCTAAGCCTCACTATATTAAATCAGAAGAATATTTACAGTTGCTTGATCAAATAATGACATCACAATTGTTGTGATAGCAATAATTCAATATGTCCATAGCAATGAAGCAACTAAGATAAATTTTCTGTTCCAAAGTGCATATGTTTTTAATGTGTGTGCATTTGATCTATGATCCTGGGGAAAAAAACAGTGTGTATGAGTAGCAGTATTTGTGCTAAATATTATCGTCTAAAAGAGAGTCATAATGTTACACATACACAGAGGTATTTGCAGGTTTGTGATATATAAAATCAATGGGATTTGAAGGTGCACAGTACCAAGAAGCATGAGCCTCTTTCTGATACTAAAATATCCCATTGGTTAGAAATGAACACGTGATTAGTAGTTTTTGCTTAATTCATAAATATAATGATTTGTGGGAAATACTATCCACTTATTTCATCCTTTAGGAAAAAATGTATTCATACTTGTGCTGTTCTAACAGCAATGAAATGAGGAAACACTATCTTTTTAAAAACACAAAAAACAACAACAAAATTTGCTATTAATTTCTCTGGGAATAGCATTAAATATCAAAAGTTGACTTTTGATGGTGCTAAGAACATGTAGCATTTGAACGAATGAAGTCTCTTTCAGGATTTCTTCTGTTTTTGCTGTTACAGCTTCTATTAAATGAAATCACATTAACAGGAGAGATATATATATATATATTTCTTGAATAAGCTTGGTAATTTGATAAAATATCACCCATTAAAATGTTGCATATCACTTTGTGTAATGCCTATTATCTTTTTAATGGAACATAGCTCTATATCTCAACTGTGACGAATTTGGAATATATTTCACCAATTTTGAAAAATGTGCAACTGATCCCATCACTATTTTCTCCTGCACCAATTGTGCAGTCTTCTCTAGCCATATGTCCTACAGATGTAGTGGATTATGACTTCCAGAATTCTAACCAGCATGGCTGCTGCATGTTTCCTAAGAATTCTGGGAGTTGTAGTCTCACATCAGGAAGGCATCAGGCCAGAGAAAGTATGTCTAGGTAAACACAATATGAGACATGGAAATATTGTGCTTTGCTTTGTCCTCCTCTGGCCTTCCTTACTGGAAGGAACAAGGCGAGGCACATGGAACAACAGCCTGCTGTTGCTCATTGCTCTAACCTAACTATCACAAGGCAGAGGAGGCATGTCACAGACTCTATGTCTTTCGTAACATCTAGTTCATCCTTAAACCTTTTCAGTGCTTTGAGAATACAAGAAGAAATGAGGAACAAGCAGAAGGACCAAAGAAAGTGTACATTTTCCATATCTTTAGTGCTTTGTGTCAACTTTCCTCTACTTTACATCTTGGTTTCACTGTCTAAGGGCTTTTCATTCTCATTCTCTTGTGAAATCAGCTGGTAAGGCTTCTTCATTTCATTCTCCTCAATCACAGAGTTGCCCATTTCAGCATCCTTGTTCCGTAACTCATGGCGGGATAAATGTTCGACAATTCCTGCACCAATGGAGTCTCCCAGAACGTTGGTAGTAGTGCGTAGACGATCCCTAGGGAACACATTGCAATTTAAATAAACCAGTCTTTTTTTTTTCCAACACAGTGAAAGTTTTCACTAGAAGATATAACACAAGTCCACATTCTTTCCTTAAAATTACATCAGCAATATATTAACACGTGAATAAATTGTGAAATGAAATAACAGCCATCTTTAAAAATTAAATATCAGAAGGAACAACACGTAGGTGTTTTTGTAACATTCATATTTTCTTTTGGGCCTCTTCCTTCTCACACAAGGAGATTGGCCACAAGCTGCAGCATTTGAAAGGGTTCATTATGAAACAAATAACAGGGAAATTTAAGATTTGCATGTTGAAAATATGGTTGCTGGCGACACTGAATAATGCATCTTTTAAAAAAATTACAGCTTGGAAGGTGAACAGAGATTGAATGACTTTCATATCTTTGTCCAAAAAACCCTCATCAGTATCCTATTCTAGTCTTCTTTTTATATAAGATGACATTTTGACATTTGTATGCAATGTAACCAAGTATTGTTTCAAAGAGACTCAATACATTTCTTCAGGAAAGGAACTACAATGACTTATAAGTTTAGTTTACACTTGTGCCTTTAGTCTACTTCATATAGAAAAATACTCACAGAAACCAATCCACTGCAATGATAAGTGTTATGTCATCTGTTGGCAAACCAACAGAGGTTAATACAATCACCATTGTGACCAGGCCAGCTTGAGGAATTCCTGCTGCACCAATGCTAGCAGCTGTTGCGGTAATACTGTTATAAGGAAAGAGATATAAAACCAATCATACTGCCATTTTCACTTTTTAAAACATGTCCTTATGTCATAAAACTCTTTCAGCCTTGAAGAAGTTGTTGGCTAGAAGTTCATGAATCTGGTTGGAATCAGTTGCTAGTTTGCATGATCAAAAGTCTTTCCCCTTTCATTTCTCTTAGAAGAAAATTTGGTGCTTAAGCTAGATAAGCAATCTCAACAGTGTATTCAGCTTCATGAGTTAGACCACTCTTCCCCAAGCTGGCATTTTCTAGATGTCTTAGATGTTCAGATTGTGATCCATCCTTCCTTCCTTCCTTCCTTCCTTCCTTCCTTCCTTCCTTCCTTCCTTCCTTCCTTCCTTCCTTCTATATTACTCTAAAACTAATAACTATCACAATAGGAAGAAGACCTGCATTCTATGTAGCACTCTCAATCTGGATTAGGTCCTAATATTATAATTTGCATTGCAAACAATGTATTCTATGATTTCTGAATTGTTCATGACTTCCTACTTTATCATCCTCCTGTCCCCCTGTGTTACCGTGCATTCCGCTCAGAAATGCCCCTCATTCTGACTTTTCTAGCTTTGTTGTCCTGCACAGATATACAAGGATATGTATTTTTGCAAGGTTTACAAACCTGATTGTGATAATTTGCCCAAAGTTTAGATCCATATTGTTAACCTGTGCAATGAAAATTGCAGCCAGGGCTTCATACAAAGCTGTCCCATCCATGTTAATAGTTGCACCCACAGGTAGTACAAATCTCGTAATGCGTTTGTCTACTCCATTGTTCTCTTCCAAACACTTAAAAGTGATAGGCAAAGTGGCAGAACTGAAACCAGATGGGGAGAAAAATACAAGAAGATATCATTACCATGTATGTATGTATGTATGTATGTAGAGAGAGAGAAAGAATTTGTTCATATAGTCAATCTTCAGACAATGCTCCAAATTTGAGGGAATTTGCACCCAGATTTTGGATTCCTGGGTGTATATTACAGAAAGACCATATAGTACAGGTAGATCATGTGTCGTGCGTACATATTTTCAGTACCTTTCATTTCATTGATGTCTATCTAAACTAAACTGTCTAAACTTAAAGATATATCTAGACTAAAAGATATATCTCAATACAAAGCAGTTTCAGATATTAATTTTCAGGATTAAGAATAATTAATGTAAAAGAGATATCCAATTAAAATATTTACTGGAATATATAGCCAAATAATATGAAGTGCATCAAAATCTGGATGCTATATTATATTGTACTCCGAATGGTACTTAGATGCAGATGAATGTCGCTACACACATATTGGAACATGTTAAATGTAAAGTAAAACCTAAAGTAGCGGTGAAAAGTGATAGAGACCCGGGATAATGAAAGAAATTTGGAATAATCATATCTTCTCTCAATCTTTTGCAATAAAAACATCTGTATTTACTCACGGACTAGCCTCTCTATGGATAAGCTCTCAGGTTTTTAACCAAAATATCATGAAAAATGTTGCTGTCCATAGTTAGCTGTGAAAATTGAAAATTTTGAGGGTCAGCCTATCTGTGGGTGGCACATTTTTCATGGGATTTTATTTAACACTTTAAAAATCTGTTTATTGATAGATGGGCTTACATTCTAGTATATATGGAATACGCAGCATTTTAAAAACGTATTACATCTGTAAATAAGTCCCAAAGGTGCTTTTTTCAAGAGGCAACTGGAATTTCTGGTTTTTCTTTGAAGACATTTCCCTTCTCGTCCAAGAAGCTTCTTCAGAGCTGAAGAAGCCTCTTGGATGAGAAGCAAAATGTCTTCAAAGGAAAACCAGGAAGTCCAGTTGCCTCTTGAAAAAGCACCTTTGGGACAACCATGACTTGGATGACTGAGACTCTCTATAGATATCTGTAGTTAAGCTGAACCCAATTTGTGGGGGGGTTGTATTTGGGGACCTATTATTCTTGGTTTATGCATATGTACAGGCAGTATATACCCCATAAAAACTCCTGTATCCCAAACTATTTGATTGTGAAAGCCTACCTTGAGGAAGTTCCCAAAGCTGTGATGAGAGCTTGCAACAATCCTCCAATAAAGACCCAAGGATTTTTCCGAGTAATGAAGAAGTAGAGAAGTGGGAGAACAATAATTGCATGGATGAGCAAACCAATGATAACAGTAACTGTATACATGGCAAGCTGGCCTCCGATCACACCCATATCTTCCATCTCAACAATTTTCCCCGCAATTAAAAACAAAATACCAAGTGGTGCATACCTGGAAAAAAAGAAAGACAAAGAGAAACGGAGAGAGACAGAGAAAGAGAAAAAGATGAATGCATTGCTTTGTAACTATCCTATAAGTCTACTTTTGTGTAATGTATCTTTATTCTCTTGCCCTTGGAAATTCCTTGCTACACTCTATAAAGACCAAGATTGTGACCCTAAATATATTGTCCCCAATATTCTTGTTTATTATATTGTCTGGAGATCCTGTATTTTTAAAATGAATTCTGCAGAATAGTGGCAAACAAAGGAGAATATGAACATACCAATTCATTAAGGATAGACTTTAGTCATGGATGGTGTGTTTTATTCCAAAATATGTATTTTTTTAAAAAAAAATACTGTTTAAATTTTTTAATCACATTCTTGTTGGGTAAAATATTACTTCGGTGCAGTAATGAAATCTGAAGCCAGTTACACAAGACTTGTATAATATGCCTGTAATTCAGTCTATGAATACAGTACCGATTTATACTACCTTTGCCAAAATACAGGAACTAGGCAGTTTATTAGTGATACTGATTTTTTAATCCATAATTTATTTTAGCTTCATATTTCTGGTCTTATATTCAAGAGACCATCACATATTCCTGTTCTCCTAAGAATCCCTGTTTTTTTCTTACTGCTGTTATAACTGCTTTTGAAACAACCGTGTGAAGGTTCTTCATTTCTTCCCTACAAACACTCATCAAAACTGAGTTCATACTTACATTTTTCCCCATCTAGAGTCCTTCTGATTGTTTGGAATTCAAATCCCAGAATTCTTAGTGTAATCATACTAATCAGGGAAGTCTAGGAGATGATCTGAGACTTCTCATTGGTTTATTGATTTTAGTTTTTAGAGTTTTATTCATGATTGTAAACTGCTCAGAGTTTAGATTAAGATGTATGGCTGCACACATTTTATACAAATGAAATAAATAAAATTAAGATATCAAGTACAGGAAGGCTGTTATCCTATAACTCTGCTTAAGTAGGTATCACTGGAATATTGTATATTCTTCTTTCTTCTTTTCCCTGAATAATTTTCCCTTTCCTTTCTCCATTATCTACCAATCTTAAAATACAGACCATCAGACTCACAGGCTTTTAGTACAGTATCATGTAAAATGATAGCCTTGTCATGATACATAGAGGACCAATACAGCTCTGATGAAGTGGAAAGTTCTGCTGGGCGCAGACTTTCTTCAGTGTTGCCAATATGGTTGTGAGTAAATTCAGTTTTGAAGATGGGCAGGTATATTCATGTTAGGTATAACATTGATACCAAATATGGTTTGGGTGAATAAATATATAAAACTTAGATATCATGGTTTAAGTGCTTATCACTTTAAGCACAATGCAGCAGGCAATTAGCCGATTAAGGGTGCGGTTAGAAGTTACAATATAAGGAAGCATTAGAAGCTGTGAGTTTACTGTCTGTCTCTGGCTGTAACTGTTACTGTGTGCTGCTGCGACTAACTGTGATTACTGACTGTGAGTGCCTGTTATTGAACTGTTATTGTTTGCTACTGTTTACTGAATATCCAGCGTTTGTTTCTCTGGAGAGTGAAACCGGAGGAGGAGAAGATATCTTTATCGGCTGATAAAGATATTGCAAGGACTCTTAACTTGGACTATACTAGTGAGTCTTACTGGATGGAAATACTGTGAATGACTTAATGGACTGAATGACAATGCTTAAACTCTAACTGGATTAAAAACTATTTAAACTACAAACAGTGTTTGTGTTCAGTGTGTGTATACTCTGGGGCCCTTCC